ACGTCCCCTCGCTCCTCTAGAATGGGGGCTAGTGACATTCCCCACCCTGGCGAAGGACTTGCAGATCTGCGATGGAGCGCTAAGCTGTGTTATCTAGAACACACACACACACACACACACGCGACACTCTCATCGGCCCTATTACAACCAACACCAGTGAGAGGTGCCTGTTAGCACAACAGCCACGCTGGGTGTGAGTCCATCTGCCCTGCTGCCTTTTCGTCCCAGTGGAAAATCCCCAGAGAACGACACCCTCCTGAGCTCCACTGCCCAGAACGCTCGGCGGAAGGAGGCCAGGCCAAACCCATGGCAGAGGCATAGCCAGGGCACCCATCTCAATGGCATTGTCCTGAACCAATCACAGAAATGGGCCAGCTCTGCACGAACTGCTGAGCAGGTGCAGCGGGGACAGCTCTCAAAGCCCTCTTTGAGAACAGGATTAAGGGGGGCAGCCACTGAACTGTTTAACGGGGTTTGCCACTGCGTGCCTCAGTTTCCCCATCTCAGCGCTGCGGGGGGAAGGGAGCGCTCGGCGATGGTTTGCAAAAGCGATCCAAGATGCTCAGGAGAGCGCTGTAGACGGGCCCAGGGTTCCAATCTTTCCCGTTATAGGGGTGAACGTTTACTCCAACCCGGTGCTGCAATGCAGCCACCTCTGGGGCAAAGCACAGCCGTCCCGCTAGCAGCCACGCAGCCGCATTGAGAATTGGCGAACAGGAAACCCAGCATGTTTTCTCATCCCCATTTCTGAGCCTCACGCCTTGCCGAGCCCCGGCCGGAAACGCCACACACCAGAAGCGCTGACCTACATGGGGCTCTGCCAGGGCTATTTTAACCTCGGCTGCCACGTGAGCAGCCTGCGAAGTGCTTGCCAGGCCAGCCCCTCCCATGCATGTGCCGGCACGCTCAAGTGGGCAGCAGGGTGGAGCTTTCCCAGACATTAGCACGTTGCTTCCAAAATGGGCCCAGGGGAGTGGAGAGAGTGTTTCATTTTTCTCACCACTCTGAGGAAGCCAAAACCGTACACGTGATGGGTGGGGCTGGTTCATAGAGCCATGTGAAATCTTGGCTCATCTGGCTACGGACGTAAGAGACACAAGCCGAGATGCAAGGGGACCAGGGAATTTACAAGTAGTTGGCTTGGTGCTGTGATTTAAAACTTTTCAAAAAGATTACTCGAGAGCTGGGATTTAACGTCGCTGCCTCCACATTAGAGCTAGGCAGGAATTCCCCCCACCCCCTTATATCCTCTAAACATTACAGACCAGGAATCCAAGCGTCTCGGAGTCTGTATGAAGACAGGGAGAGTCACTAAGTCGGGGTGGATGCAAATCAGGCCTTAAATAGCCCGAACATTTGAGATCACACCTGTGCTTTTAGTTTGATCTGCACTGGATGCCGAGGCCCTTACAGCAGCAGTTTCAGATTTCCCGCATCCCCCCTCACCCCACACTGAGGCCCAGCTCAAAGCCCAGGCACTATCTCAACACCTTGCAGTGGCCCTGGCACTACGATGAATCTGCACCCAGCTGTACAAATGTCATTACCTAGGGGAGACCTTCCTACTGCCTCTTGGGCCCGCGGAGCTCGGATGGGTTTGCACCTGCCGCCTGGGCCATTGCATGTACAAAGGGAGCGGAGTTACAACCCCAGCTTGCAATCCATGCAGGTGCACCTAGCCGCATCCTTTGCAAATTCCCCTTAAAGGAATGGCCCAGGGCCCCACTATCCTTGCCCAGAATTCCCTTCCTTGGGGGCCCTGCCCATCCCAGAAATTGTAGTGGGGAAGTGCTGGGTGGAGCTTGGAAAGTATGTTGGAACCTTTCATGGTCTCTGTCTGCCTCCCTGCAGAGTTGCAGGATTGCCAGGAATTCACAGGCTTGACACTGCAGGAGAGGCTGCTACACCTCCCTAGACCATAAAGCGCCCTGGAGCACTGCAGAAATAAAGGGCAGCCTGAAGGTTCATGCAATTGTTTGCACTGGGTGTGGGAAAGTGGATGTGAAGTGCTACCAGTTCAGAACAGCAGGGCCTTACCCAAGGCTAGTCTGTGCCCATGCAGCAGGGCTCTATTGTAAGGTTGCTCTGGGTGTGGCTACATCAGTGCAGGTTTGCACCTGTGCAGATGATTTCACAAGAGTTCGTACATGTGGAGCCAGATTCTCCTGGTATAAAGCCAGCAAAGTCAATGGACTTACATGGATTGAAGAACAAACTCAGGGAACCTGACCCGCTAAGCCTCTTCCCTGGGTAGTGGATACAGTTAAAGCTCAAAGATGCTGGAGCCACTGACCCCCGAGGAGTACCTTTGACCCAGACGTTTATTTTTCTCTTGGTTACACATCACTGCATTGGAAACGGGAGATATCTCCTCTCCCCGGGCATAGAAAAATAAGTCATGAAGGGGGTGTAAATCTTTTAACACAAATGTACAGACAAAGAAAACAAAAGCAATCACACAGCTCACAATACACAACATCCTGCAATCAGCTTCAGTCCAATGAGTCTCCTGTACAACACGGGTAGCATGCACCTGATCGGTCGGGGCAGAGCACCCCTCTGTTAAAGGCAGGACATCTCCACTGGAGGGTAGATTAGGAAACACCAAGCTGCCTTGCACCTCATGGTGTCATTCACACCAGTGTAAATGCAGATCGGGTAGCGTTTCCATAGTGCGGGCCAGATCGGTTTCAAGCTCGAGTCAATGACATTGCTTCATACTTGCGCTGGAAGATGCGGGATCCGAATCCAGCCCACTGGGTCATTTAAGCCTCCATAGGGGGTTTTATTCTTGTTGCAGCCACGAGTGACTGATTTGATCATTTGTACAAATCGACACTGGAAATTTTAGGGTCATAAATATACATGAAAGATAACCCTGGAAACCCTCCCCGCACACTACATAAAAAAATCGCTTAACATATTTGGAAATAGCATTATTAAAATACAAAATCTGTTAAATAATTAAAAAACAAACAACACACACACCCCTGGCGTCAGATGCAATCGAAGAGTTAATGTTCCCAATGATTCAGAACTCGGCTCGGTGCAGGAGGCACGGCCTGATCTCGCCTCACCTTTCCCAGGACACCGTCCTCCCTCTGACTCCAAGGCAGTCACTGCCGATTTACTCCGGAGCAAGCAGAGCATTGGGCCCTTACGCAGGCACAGAGCTGCAGCTGGTCTTGCTCTTTGGGGGCAAATTCGGTTTAAGTGCTTTTCCCACGATGCTGCAGACTGAGCCACGGTGTGGGCATCCCAGTGCTTCTAGTTTCTTGCTCTTAAGTTAGATTCAATACTGAGGACGCGCCAGAGGGACCAACCCAGCCCTAGCTGCCCCAGGATGATCACAACACGGGATTGAAGAGTTTCTCCCAGGTGGTTTTAGTTCATGGCTATTCGGAGAGGCTGTAAGATTCTCCATTTCACAGCCTGTTTTTCATTGGGCCAATTCACACTAGTTATTACTGGTATCAGAGGGGTAGCCATATTAGTCTGAATCTGTAAAAAGCAACAGAGGGTCCTGGGGCACCTTTGAGACTAACAGAAGTATTGGGAGCATAAGCTTTCGTGGGTAAGAACCTCACTTCTTCCGACTTGCATCTGAAGAAGTGAGGCTCTTACCCACGAAAGCTTATGCTCCCACTACTTCTGTTAGTCTCAAAGGTGCCACAGGACCCTCTGTTGCTAGTTATTACTGATTAGATACACCCGTGGGATAGCCCCGATGTCAGGTTCCTACTGGTTCAATGCAATTACACTCACAGAGCATCGCAATGGTGAATCTGGCCCCACACTTCCACTGGTCACAGAGAACACAAGCCCACAAAAGATACATTTGCACGACAAGCTCCCTGGACAGTGTTTTTACCCCTCGCCCACTGATGCAAAGATGGGTCAGTATTTGTGGAAGGCAGTCAGATACTACAGTGATGGGCAGCAGTGTCAAATCCTACAACACAGAGATGGGGAAACTGAGGCAGCAAGAGGTTAAAGCCCTAATTTAGATCTAAATTTACCCTGATGCAAATGTGGATTGACCCCACTGGAGTCAATGGAGCTAAACTGGGTTTTTATACCTGTAATTAAAAGGAGACTCAGGCCCAGAGCCTAACCCAAGAACAAAACCAAGGTGGCCCTGACTTCCCCAGGCTTGGCTCTAACCACCAGACTCCGCTGCCTCCCTGAACTCAGCAGTGTGATGTAGAGGGAGGCTGCAGAGCATCCCCACCTGCCCTATGGGGAAGATCAGGTGGCGGGTTTAGGCTAACCAAGGCCCTCTGAAGCGAGCAATTTTGGACCCTAGCAGGACCGCCGCTGTCCAGAGGTTTGATGCTTCGCTACCCTCTGATCTAGGCGCCTCATGGGATTTGCTTTCAGTCAGGTCACACATCCTGCACAGCAGCATTGCCTCAGGCAGAAGTTGGTGTTTCCACCTTGTGCCACAAACAGGCTCTCTAGGTGTGACCTTGCAGGAGTTAAGGGAACTGTTTCTGACCTCAAGAGCAGATAAAATACGAGCTGGCTCCAGCTGAGTCCAAGCCATTCTGCCCACCCCCAACTGGTTTTATCCATTTCCTAAATCCTCCACTCTGAATAGGACGAGAGGAATCGAACGCTCTTCTGGTCACCATCCCAGGGCCAGGGCTTGGAAAGGCACCGTGAGCATCTGGTGCCGATCTCTACTTTTTTCAGTCTTGCAAAGTCAGATAATTCACCTTCCAAGTCACATCGCTCTGATTACCATCTTGCTTCTCCATTTTCGAGCCCTGCCTCTGTCTCCCCACAACACCCCCATATTAGTCACTTCACAAAAGTTACTGCCCAGAAGAGGGGGGGGGGCTTTTAAATGAGGGTCACGAACAGACTGGATGTCAGGGTGCAGTGGGGTAGCCATGACAGAGTGGCTATATTAAGATCACTCAGCGAGGCCCGTGCACATCTTAATGCGCTGGTTTGTTTTGCTGGGGGGGGGCCTCCACCCACTTAGCCTGTTCCTGTCATCGTGAGGTCTGAGCCACTCCCAGCAAGGTCGCTAGCCCCCGTCCGTCGCTCTCCACTTAAATCGATGCCAAGGACGTTAACAGCCAGGTTTATTCACGGCTAGAATCAGAGGCGAATGCTTTAGGGAACGCCAGGGCTCTATAGTGCTGGGTTGTCGCTGTAGCTGTTGGAGACGGTGGCTGCTGACATGGGGGCAGGGGGGGAAGTGAGCTGGCAATCGGCAGGGGATGGTTCTAAGATCTGCCAGTGGCAGAGCCGAGGGGATGTGGAAGATTTGTCACTGGGAGCTGGAAATTCCCCACCTGTCTCCCCTCCAAGCCCAAACAAGTGTGCAGCCGGCTTGAGAGGGAGCTGGATATGGGCCTTTGGTTCCGGCCCTGACGACTGGAAGAGATGGGATTTGAAAAGGCACTGGGGCTCCTCTGTCGAGCAGAGCTTTTTTCAGCACTGAATGTGGCAAATCCTGGAGCTTTTCCCCAGTCCCTGAGGCCTGTCTTTTTAGCCTCCTCACCCCGCCCCCGGAGCATTCCCGCTCTTGGCCATGATTTCAATAACGCATGTAAGATTAAAAGGACAAACAACATCCCTTGCTAAGACAGCAATCCACGCTGCACCCAAGGGCCAGGAGGCTCCAGGAGGCCCTAGAAGACTGAACTGGGCAGAAATGAAGATCTCAGTCAAGCACGGCCTTCCCCCCGCGTCAGCTTCAGATTGCATTTGATTTGTTTAACCTTTCAAGAGACTGAAGGCACAACAGCTTGTGGACACACATCCACACCCAGAACAGCTTGCAGGGGGGCATGATGCAACACTCACACCTCTTGCAGCAATTGGTGGATGCTCGATGGTGTCCTGGTTTTCACCTCCTCAAGGCAATGCAGGTGCCACTGCAGACGCTGAAAGATGATCCCACCAATCAGGTCAGAGAACAGCCGCCATTTGAAACACGCAGACTTGGACAGCTTCAACCCGACCCTTCCATGGTACCTGAAATATCCAGCCTCGCTTCCATGTCCAGTGCAACCACCCATTCATGGAGGATCTGGGTCAACCTCAGAGCTACAAATCCTACCCCCGGCAGGAGTTTCACAGCATGGAGACGGCAACGAGCCCAGGGGATTCGGAAGCCCTTGAGCGCCACCCAGTTCTGTTGTTACGGGAGGTATGTGCGGTTACGGGAGGTATGTGCGTGTGTTACTCTGTCCCATGGCTTCCTGGCCAAGGAGTAGATGGATCTCCAACCGTGTCCAAAGAACTGGCTCAGCAGAACGGTTCTCACCTCGGGAACCAGCCCCAGCCTTGCGGCAAGGTGTGTCAAGTCTCTCTTCAATGCATGTGGCAGTTGCCCTGTGGCCCCCCCACCCCGCCCCAGCGTCCCCGGGCCCCTTTAGAAGTTCTTGAGGCGGCTGTATAGCTCCCGCTTGCTCTTCTCTCCTGCCCACGTGCGGCTCTTCTGACGGAACTTCCGCAGGTCCTCCTTGAAGTCCTCGTGATGCATGGGACGATAGTCCCGGGGTTCGCAATGTGCCTGGGGACAGATGCACAGGGCTCGTGTTAACAGACTGGCCAACCACCCGCAGGGTGACCCCAAGCAGGGGCCGAGCCCCTTCCCACCCACAACTCCGCTACCGTCAAGAGCCCCTTGGAACAGTTTACCTGCTAAGGAGCAGGCAAATGCACGGCAGTGTTTAAAACCGGTGACGATGCCAGGAGGCCAGATATCTCCCCAAGCCCCTTTCTCGATTGCCAGGGGGCCCAAGATACTGCAGCCAGACTGCTCTTGGCCCTGTCCTCACTCCCCTTCACAGGCTAATCAACTACCCTCAGAAACGCGGGTTCCTTTGCTGGCTTCCTGCAGCCACCTGGAAATCACCCTCTTTGGTTTTTAAACTTGCCCTGGACTCGGTCACCACCTGCCCCGCTCACAAGGCCTCTTCTTCAACCACCACCTCACACCCCGTAATGCCCCAGTTCCTGGGGAGGGGAAATGCGGCAGCTCTCGTGTCTCCAGCTCCCCCAGTCTCTGTACAAGGAGTCACTTGCCTTCTCCAAGTCTCACTTTAAGACCCGTCCCGCTCTCCAGGTCCCCTTATTCCGCGGCACTCAGCCGCAGGCTCTGCACTGGCTCAAAGTCTGGAGGTTTTAAACAGACCCTGGAACCTCTTGCTTCCCGGATACCGGCTGTCCCCATTCCAGAGGGTGAATGTGCCAGGGCAGGGAAGGTATTTTGGTGCACGCTATCGCCACCTGGCATCTGCCAACCTCGGAGAAGGTAGCACAAGCCCTAGTCTCTCACACACACACACACACACAGAGCTATGCTTTCCGTAGCACCAGTGGGTGCCCCCAGCAGACGAGGGCAGTGCTTCTGGGATGGACAGACACACACACTTCACTGACGGGAAGACTCCGCCATGACTTACTTGGTACTGCGGGAAGAAGTCTTTGTATCCTCCTTTCAAGATGTACAGTTCGGGATAGTGCAGGTTGGGGTACTCATTGCGTGCCCGATCTTTTTCCCTGACAAACCGGCACCTTCAAGACACAGATGCATGAGGTTAAAGATCATCTGACCCGGTTTAATTTTGCGCACACAAGGGTATGTGCTGAATACCACTGGGCCATGGAATGACTGGGCCAGATCCTTGGGGGGAGGGATAGCTCAGTGGTTTGAGCATTGGTCTGTTAAATCCAGGGTTGTGAGTTCAATCCTTGAGGGGGCTACTTAAGGATCTGGGGCAAAATCAGTATTTGGTCCTGCTAGTGAAGGCAGGGGGCTGGACTCGATGACCTTTCAAGGTCCCTTCCAGCTCTAGGAGATAGGATATCTCCATTAATCCTTCGCTAGCTGCTCTGAAGTCAGAGCTGGGCCAATGTACGTTGGGCTAAGAATCTGTCCCACAGCACCTTTGACCCAAATACATTTGGGCTGTGAAATGCGGCCACCTCTGGGGTGGAATGTGAGAGCAGCACTATACAACCCCTTCAGTTCTTCCCTCATTCAGCTACAGACTTCAGTGGCATCGCTCCGGGTCTATGCTGGTTTGAGGAGGATCAGGCCCAGTGTCTGGAAATGAGGATTTAGCCTGATGTGGAAGCTGCAGGGAGAATCTTAGAGTTGGGATTCCCCCAGGCCATGAGTGGTCGAGAGCTCTGATTCTTTCGGTTCTCTCCCAACAAGACAGGCTAGTCCATTCAGACAGCAAGCGCTTACGGGACCGCGAGCCAATGGACAACCGAGTCCTCCAGAAGCCTAGATCCAGGAGGCAATTCTCTATCGTTTAGTCTTGTAGGTCGATCTGTCAACACACAAGTTTCTTGGGGCCCCAACGGCTCAGGGATGGATGAGCCGCTTTGTACCCATCCCAACATCTTGGGATCTGTAATTTGGTGGGATGGCATCACTATGCCAGGGATCGTTCAGACAAGTCCTGACTGGTACAGTCAAACTGGGTCCTTAAACAACCCCCTGCAGCCACATCGTTTCAAGATCTTTTAAGTACACCAGTGTCTAAACAGAACCCCGCTCCCGTGGCCACGAGACGAGGGGGTTGGGAGGACATGTAGCACCTACGCAGCTTGTGGCCCACTTACATTCTGGGACCCCTCTCCGAAGAAAATTCACAGTGGAATATCACGATCACCCTCTTCTGCACGTCCAACGGGACGATGGGGTTCCTCAGCAGGAAGTCCTCGATGTCCTGCTCCAGCGGCAGGTTCACAGCCCCCTAGAGGAAAAGGGCATTTCCCGGTCAGAGGCGGCAGGAAAGACCCTCCCCTTTCCCACTGACCCAGAGAAGAAGCAGGAGGTGTAAAACTCTACAGGACCACTGAGGTCTAAGAAATTGCGAGGGCTGAAGGGCCCGATTCCCCACGCCACTGCTCATCACTCAGCCTGTGCAATGGGTGAACAATGCTGCACAACCGGCACTTCCCCTCCCCCACCCTTTGCCAAGGGCAGTGTTCACATCCACCATTGTTATCTGCCCCTGGGATCGCTGTCCAGTGCCCACAAACCCACTAAGCACCTGTACCCCCAGTCCAGTGAATGGAATTCGCAGGAGCTCAGCATCGTGAAAAGAATCAGCCCATTGTTTTGAATGCCTAGAGTTTGGCACCCATGTTTCAGTGATTTTGCTTGAAGGACTGACCCCGGGTCACGGAGGAGAGCGGAACTCCCCAGCACTGGCTCCTGGGCTCACACCACTAGGCCATGCTGCCTCAAGGTTAAACAGAGAGAAACAAGCCGGCGGTTCTGACCTTGATGTGACCCCCTTCATATTCGTAGGGATACCGGCAGTCCACGATCACACAGTTCTCAATGAGGCTGTTGAAGTGGCCGTTCAGCACGGCCACCATCTGCAGCGGAGAGAAGAAACGGGCGCGGTCACTTGACGCGGGACTGTGCCGTTCCACTAGCACACACGAGCCCCTGCTCCCCCGGGGCCTGGCCCTACTGCCACCGCTTGGGCTAAACAGCTGAGCTGCAGAATCAGGCCCAAGCCCACGGTGGTCACAGTGAGGGCTGCAGAGTGTCACGGCGAAGTCACAGAGCAAATTTAGTAGAAGTCATGGGTATAATGGCTGCTCGTTGCAAATGAGGGGGCACCAGCCAGCCCCGGCGCCAGTACCCTAATCCCAGCCTGTTGAGGAGGGGAGGGAGGGCCGGAAAGCAGGACACAGTGGAGCAGGGCTTGTCGCCCATCTGTCCCACGCCCCAGGGGCTCCCCTCCACACTGGGGAGGGGACCCACTCCGAGCCTTCCTGCAGGAAGTAAGTCAGACAAAACAAGAACTCGCAGTGTCTGGAACTTTTTACGGCACTGTGATAAACCCGCAGCCCTAGTCACGATCAATCAGTCACCTCCTTACCATTTCTGGGGAGATGTATTTCAAGTCCTGATGTCTCCCTTCCACAGTCTGTAGAAGATAAGCCTACAACAAAGGGGCAGTTAGCGACCCAAGTTAAGCTCTTTCCTCCTGGGATTTAGCCAGAGCTGGGGTGATGGTTTTTAGAGCATTTCCCAGCATTATTAACTATAAAGTTCTGATCTAAGGTATTAAGGGGCACTATCAATTCAAGTTTCCATTTTTAGAAGAGTTTTATTAAAACTCATTAAGACCAAAAGAAATCATTCCTTTACCACGCCGAGGCAGACAGCTGTTTCAAACCAAACGTTCATCTGTGGGTTTGAAATCCCAAAATGGGACCAATTCTGCCCTCTCTCCTGTTGCAACTGTACAATTGGGGTGGAGCTGGCACCATTTTGATCTGGTAGCTTTTATAACGTTGGCATGGGTGTAAAGGAAGGGGCAAGACGGGAGAATCCACCGCCCTTGTCTTGTCTGTAAAACGCCAGGCACGATTCACAAACAGGCATTTCTTTCCATTTGGACAATGACGACATTTCACGTCAGCATCTAGTCTGTCTCATGGCCCATGCAAGGGCAGGCGGCTACTGGGTTTCCGACACAGCCTAGGTAGGGAAGGTTTCAATAACTTTTGGGAGTGGGGGAGGGAGGTTCATTTTGGTCGATTTAGTACAAAGGGATTTTCCTTCTTTCTCCCAATACCTTTGAGAAGTCCCCGATGAGTTCTCGGTGATCGTTATCCAAGATGTTCTCGATCTCATCATGGCAGAAGGACCTGGAGCGCAACAGCCTTGATTTCTAGGAGGAAACCGAGACTGGGTGTCAAATCAACATGGAGAGCCTTCTACAAGAACTCAGCCAGCAGTTCTGGGCGGAGGAACCCCGGGGTGGAGGGTCTGGCCTGGGCTAGGCAGGAGGTCAGACAAGACGATCAGAATACTCCCGCAGATTGCAAGGCCAGAAGGGACCATTGTGATCATCTAGTCTGACCTCTTGCCTAGCCCAGGCCAGAGACCTGCCCCACTGTAATCCCTAGAGCTGAGCTTTTAGACAAACAGCCCATCTTGATTCAAAAATTGTCAGGGATGGAAAATCCACCACGACCCTGGGTAAATTGTTCCATGTGGCCCTAAAGACTGGGAAATCAGGCTGAAGAGATACAACGGTCACAGACATTTATGCTCCCAGCACAGAAACATGGATCACCACCAATCCTTGCCAGATTTTGCAGCTATATGGTTAATTCAGTTTGGTCTATCCTGGTTTTAATCACATGGGGGTGCCAGAATCTAAAGAGGCAAGAAGCCTGCAGCCTTCAACTCATGTGATCAGCCCCATAGAAGTCAGTGGGTCTGGATCGCTCCCTTCCAGTGCCTTGAATATTGTGTAGTTCCTTCGACTCATGCACCACGAGCGAGACACAGGGACGGCAGCAGGAGCACAGGGTTCTGATACAGGAGCATCTCACAGCCGCTTCGCGGGGGTGCCAGGGAGGACACCCGGCAGCCAGGTATTGACAGCCACTCGTCTCGGCTGTAGCTCTAAGAGCTCACCCGCCCCGTTTTCCTAGCTGCTCCTTGTTGCTGTCTGCGGGCGACAGGCCGGCGCGCACGCAGGCTATGCGGAGGTTGGAGATTTCAGCTGGGTTACAGCAGAGAATCGCTTGCTCCTCCCAGGACGGCAGGAGGAGGGAAAAATGAAGAAAAACCAATTTGGGAGGAGCAGGACATGGGAAAACACCCCCCATTTAAGGGGGCAGCACCCCTCGATTTCTGAAGCGCTGGGGCCCATGCTCCAGTGCTGGGGGAGAAGGACGTACGACATGGCGGGGCTAGCCAAGAGGCTTCCCCCTACCACCCACTGATTTCCAGATGGCCGGCTGGGCCATTCCAGATGCCTACAGTACAGCCCTAGCTGCTGAAGGCTTTGTGGGGAAGGGAGGTCTCGAAGCATACCCCAGTATGTCTAGTAGACAGCCCTCCCTGGGCAGGGAGGTTCTGGAGCCAGGGAATGGAGAGGGAGATCTCCCTGGCCCCAAGTCTGTCTCTGTATCACCTACCGGCTCCTCCGCCTTCTCCTCGATCGGGGTGCCAGCTACGCTCTTCCGCCTCTTGGTTTTGACCGGAGTGTCTTTGTCCTGCGGCCTGTCCAGCCGCTTCAGGATGGGCCGGATCACGCTGCTGGGCATGGAGGGGGACCTGAAGAGCTGGCGACATTTGCTGTGTCTCACCGACCTCTGCACGGACGAGAGCGAGCCGTGGTTACAGCCTCATTCTGGCCCCTTGCTCGCCCATGGGCACGGAGCAGCCGTTTGCCACGGCCTGGGAGGGGCAGGTCTTGTCTGCCCCATTTCACATTCACGGGGGTGGCAGTTTGACCCAAACACGCCGATTTTGGCTTCATGCTCGGTTTAGGAGACGCCAAAAGGCCACCGGCCCAATTCTGCTCCCAGCCACACCCCTGCAGGGGAGCGACTCCAATTTGGTGTCAGTGGGGCTCAGGCAGGAGACTGAGGTGCAGAACCCGGCCCCCCACCACTTGGCCCTGTGCTCCATGCACACCAATCGCCTTTACAAAGCGGCCTCCCACCGGGTCGGGTGTGTGTGTGAGGGGTGGGGGCTCCTAACCTAGCTCTCAGCACAGATACACCCCCCGCCAACACAACAGTAGCCTGAGAGATCTCAGTCCAGGGGTGGCCAACCGGAGCCTGAGAAGGAGCCAGAATTTACCAATCAACATTGCCAAAGAGCCACAGTAATACATCAGCAGCCCCCCCCCTCCCCCCCATCAGTTCACCCTCCCTCTCCGCACCTCTGGATCAGCTGTTTCGAGGCGTGCAGGAGGCTCTGGGGGGAGGGGGAGGAGCAAGGGCAGGGCAGGCTCAGGAGAAGAGGTGGGAAGGGGTGGAGTGGAGGCAGGGGCTGTAGCAGAGCCAGGGGTTGAGCAGTGAGCCCCCCCGGCACATTGGAAAGTTGGCGCCTGTAGCTCCAGCCCCGGAGTCGGTGCCTAGACAAGGAGCCGCATATTAACTTCTGAAGAGCCGCGTGTGGCTCCGGAGCCACAGGTTGGCCACCCCTGCCTTAGACTCCAACATGTCACTATGGTCAGTGTCTCGCACGCACACACCCTCCTGGTCACCATTCCCATCTGGCCAGGCTAGTAGTGACCTCAGGTCACGCCATCCGGTGGCCATGGGGGAGAGGAAGGTGCCAGGAGTCACAATCCAGTTGCCTGTGGTGAGGCGTCCTCAGACTGACCCCAGCACGTCAGCAGAGCGCACCCGGGGGCCCCTTCAGAACGAGGGGAGCACAGTCTCCAGGCTGGCTCGCCTGGCACCTTTCACCCCCTGCCAGCTCTTTGGAAGGAGAGGCCCCAACCCTGTGCCAGGCTCCCACATACCAGATCAGCGCCTTCCTTTTTCACCAGTGGGGCAGTCAGCAGGTTCTCCATCCCCGGCGGCACGTCCGCATCGTTCTGAGGAGGCGGCAGCGGGATCACAGAGAGAGAAAGCGAGCGCATGAGGCAATGGATTCCCACCAGCCCCATCCCATCCTCCCCTCTTGGCAGGGAGCACGAGACAGGAGCTGGCAAATGACAAGCTACTGAGGGGTTGCAGGAGCCAGACAGACCCTGGGGTTCTCTCTGGCTCTCAGCAGGGGCCGGCGGGTTTCCCTAAAACCTGCTCTCCGCAGATCGTTAGCTATATTTGCCCCATTAACATTCCTTTGCGATTCTGGAGTTAGAGACCACCCAGCTACAGGGGAGGGACTGGCAGGTCATCCAGATGGAGTGTGGTGGATCTTCAGACAGCCCCTGCCCAAGGGAGGCCAGGCAGGAGCGAGGGGCTGGGTGGTACGCATGAGCCAGGGGGATGGGGCTGTGCTCCATTTCGGAGCAGGATGGGACCACAGGCTGAGGCTTAGCTCCCGAAGCCAGAGCTCCCCAAGCTACGATCCAGCGGCCCGCGGGAGCAGCCGGGGCGCAGGATGTTAGGGGGCCGCGAGGGACAATCCGCGCACGCTGTACCTTCAGCTCCTCCTCGTCCAGGATCTCCATAAACCCATCGTCCTCTTCGTCAGTCACGAAGGAGGTGAGGGAGGAGCGGCGTAGGAACACTGGGCTCTCTGCTTCCACCCCCATGTTCTCCTTCTCGGGGGTGCCACACTGGGGAGCACACAGCGAAGGGGGAGGGGTTAGCGCGCGCCTGGGGGCCGCAGACTGAGCAGGAGCCGTCTGGCCGTGGGACCTGCCGTGACGCTGGGCTCTGAGGGAGGCCTCCTCTGACAAAGGAGGCGTGCGACTGGGGGACCAGCCACCAGGAAGTGCAAAGCCAAAGCGTGAGACGTGGACCCAAAGTCTCGGCCACCTGCAGCAATTGGGGATCCCAAAGCATGGAGCTAGCTTGCTGTCCGCTGGAGCAAGGGACAGACCTGGCCTGGTACCTCCTTCACCTCCCGTCCCAGACGGTCACTATTAGACATGGACTGTACCCTGCCCCAGAAGCAGCTGCATTTCAGCCAGGGGTAGTTCCTGTATTTACACATCTCCACCCCGGTCCATACGGCAGCAAGGGTGTTATGGAGATGATGGGGATTAATCCGAAGAGGGACTCTGCATCAGCTTCTGGGCGCTGGCATCACCACATTAACAGCAGGTGTTAGTGCAGCTGGTATCACTGGAGGGGATGCCTCCCTTTGCTATGCTCCAGGCCTCCCCATTACAGCCAGGCACACCCCCACCCGCCCTATCCCGCCCCCATCCCCCACCCCAGGCCTGCGCTCACCAGGAGGTCCGGGGCGGAGTTTGGTCTCTGTGCAAAAGGGTCCTTCTCGCTGCTCCCATCGAAGGGGTGAAGCCGGCTGTGATTGGTGGGCCTCAACGGGATCTTAAATACAAACCCTGCCTGCAAAGGCAAAAGGCCTGAACGTTACCCGACCGGCGACGCACTCCACGGGCATTTCGCCAGCCCTTCTGGGCCACCCGCTCTGAGTGCTCGCCAGTCACGCGCCATCCGAGCAGGACACAGCCCTGGCTTGAGTGGGCATGACTCAGTCGCCAACGCTGAAGGGCTTGTGCCACGGACACGGACTCTCCCCGGGTCAGGGCACGATGGTTCGCCGAGCACAGAGGCTATACGAGCCCAGGGCTAAGTCCCACCTGCCTGAGACCAGCCCTTTTCTGGGCTCGCGAGATGGGAGGGTCAGGCTGATCAGAAAGGGGCTGCCGCTGGAGGGCTGAAGGGGGTGGAGCTAAGAGGCTTGGGATGAAACTGAGCAGAGAATTCAGGCTGAGTATCTGGGAACATCTCCAGAAGGCGAGACCCCTTCATACTTCAGCGGGAACTAGATGGGACGTGGCCCCAAGGAACGGGCTGTAAGGGACAAGCCCACCCTGCTCCTTCCTTCAGTGGCAGGGCTGGGACAGCGCTTGGAATCTGCTCCCCCATCACATCCCCTGCCTGTCCCTTCTCTGCCTCCCGACTCACATTCTCCTTGTTCTCTTTCCGGCGCGAGGGCCGTTCGCGTGTCTCCGGGCTGCTGAACTCCTGGGCGTTGGAAAGGTTTTTCAGGGCAGGGCTGGTGCCCAGAAGCCTCTCCTGGAAGGGAGGAGGGAGAGATCATCAAACCTTCTGCCACACAGGCTCCAGCCACCACTCAGGGGCCACAGGGCCCGGCCCCAGAAGCTGAGACTGGCCGACAGGGGATGGATCACTCGGTAATTGCCTTGTTCTGTTCATTCCCTCTGGGGCACCTGGCATTGGCCACTGTCAAAAGCCAGAATACTGGGCTAGATGGACCATTGCTTTGCCCCAGTCTGGCCATTCTTATGGTCTCTCCAGGGGCCCTAGTTCTGACACAGGTTTGCCATCAGTGGGTCACCTATTTCCCCACCTCAACGCAGCCCCTGGGGGCTCTTTCTACCCCCACCCAAGCACGTGACTGGGGACTGACCCATTGTGTGTGCTAGATGCTGCTCCCTTCAGAGCCCATCACGGCCACTTCTAGCCCAGAGACAGGAAAAGGGGGGTAGGGGAAGTAGCAATACACTCACCCCCTAAGGGATGAGCTGCACCCCCCAAACCCTGAATCCCTCCCCTCTGTCATGGGCCAGCAGCCGTGGGCTCCTCCCAGGTCAGATCTCCTTGGCCAGCACGGCAGCCAGACAGCACCAGTCACCCTGGGCAGCAGGTCAGAAGCTGTCGCCCTTGGGTTTCCCCAAAGCCGGCGCTTCCGGCCGTGCAGTCAGATCCGCAGAGGGGAGATGGGGACTCACCGGCAGGGAGTGGATCCTCCGGACGGGGAATCTTTTGCTAAAAAGACAAAGCAGGAAAAGGTGTTGGGTGGTGGTCAGCGAGGTGGCGGAGCAGACCTTCTGCAGACCCCTGCCAGAGGCTGTGTCCTGAACCCGCCCAGGCCCCAAAAGCCACCAAGAGACCCTGCAAGAACTGACCAGTGCAGGCAACCCCCCAGCTAACCAGCTCTCACAAGTGACCCTCCCATAACTCACAAATGAGGACAGGGGAAGCAAATTTCTGTGGCAGGAGGGGCAGCGGTCAGGGAAATATACATAGATGGGTTTGATTCTCCGATGCACGAATGAAGGCTGCTTCACACCAATCCGGCAGCGTAAGGGCTCTCAGAACAGAACGGGATTCCTGTCACACTCCGTTTTTCCCGTGAGGGGCGTGGTGGAAAGTGGCCTTAGCATCAATGAGAACCAGACTCCGTCCTGACGGCACTGCCTTTGTGCGCGCAGCTC